CTGCGTGGTGCTTAGTTGCCAACTGAGGTTAAACCACGACACATTATTATTACATTATTATTACATTATTATTATTGTTGTTGTTATTTTATTTCAATTATTAAACTGTTTTTATCTCAACTCACGAGTTTTTCCTCACTTCTACTCTTCTAATTCTCTCCCCCATCCCACCGGGGGCGGGGAGGGAGAAGTGAGCGAGCAGCTGTGTGGTACTCAGTTGCCGACAGGTTAAACCACAACAAAGAGTTAAATACATGTATGTAAATAAATAGATTTTTCTCAATGGACTTTTGCATAATACTTTTGCTATAAGAAGACACAGCGATTCACCTGTCAATGACGTAGAAGTTGTCACCATCATCCCCTTGATCAATGACATGTTCCCCTCCTTCAACCAGCTTTTCAAACATCGCATCTAACACCTGAGACATCTGTTCCTATTTAAAAGAACACAGACAAAAGACAAGAAATTATCATCTGCTTTTAAAATTATACTTTTCAAATTAACTAACTGCCCAGCCTCCCAATATGCAGATAAAAAATGTTCATGGATGGAAAATACTCATGCTACAGAAATGCATGGATCAATCAGAAAGACAGTTTTATTTAGTATTCAGTGTTAGCTTTTTCCTCTTCCAGTGTTCAGAGCCCAGCTTCCCTTCTTGTCCCTGCCAATGATAACATAGATCTTGTCTACAATATAAATTGCTCACGAGAATCCAAAGATAGAATTTCACCCTTCACAATTGCGTAACATTATACAGTTAAAAGAAAAAACTGTATCCCTTATTGCAAACAATACACTTACCTGTTTTTGTCTTTGTAACTATTTTACAGAATTTAAAGTTTCAAAATGATTGTAAAGTATTTTGAAAATCTAAAGTATACAATGCCTGCACAATGATGGGATAGATGTAATCGTAAAGGCCTGCAGTGCTTTGATTGAGTAAGTAAATGCTAGACTTATTGGGAAGTAGGGATTTACACAGGGCTATAAAACTACTTCATTAATTTGAATGGAATATGAATGTTTAGAGAGGAATGTTAACAGACTAACAAAATGTCATAATCTGAATTATGACTGTCTAATAACAAAAACAAATCACTAATTACATAATTTGTCTTGTTTGGTGTAAATCTGCTAAAACTTAACCATTCACATCTAAAAAAACCAAACACAGCTCATTGTGGATTAATGATAACGAATCCTAAAAAGATAACTTAATAATTTAAATTTTATTTTCCATTTATCCAGCAATATGCCTAAAATTCTGACAATAAACACAATATTATCCTCTACTTTTTGAAGCTTATTCAGTATGTATCATACTGAAACAAACACGTTCTAGTGCAAACCACGGTAAAGAAAAACCTGTAGATTTAGATCCGCACGCATTTTACAGTGGTTCAATTCAGAGCATTTCCAGCCACTGAAAGATGGCATTTGCCTTTCCAAACAAGACCAGCCTAAGCCAGTCCTCTGGAGTCCTTCTGCAGCCCATGGACAGAGATAACCATACAAGATAGCTCAGAATCATTCTCTAGAGATTCCCCTTTCTTTCCTCTGATAATAGAGAGATCTACTGTAACTCACAGTTAGACACTTAATTTTTAAACAGATAAAATTAGGTGGAATGAATTCCATCCTTATTTTACTGAATTTCTTCTCTTACTTAAAGCTTTTAAAAATATCAGCAGTACCATGTTATCCAAGCCTTTTTAAAAAATGGAAGCTAAATACAATTTTACTTCACAGAGTTCTTTGTGTGTGGGCACAAAGAACAACAGAATGGCAGCATCCATCCTCAGTACAGCTGATCATGGTAAAATACAGTAAGACATCATGCAACCTACCTAGGCCAGCAAGGAATCATTTAACTATGTCTCTATTTAGTACCTTTTTTAGTATAGACAGGTATGTATTTACAAAAAAGAAGGATCATTTTACTATCAGTGAATGGGTTATAGTTTATTTCAGAGAAAGAGAAAAGTGTGTGTGGGTGCCATGGGGAGAGACTGAAAATTAGGTACAGGAGTTGCCTCTTAAAAACTTTCATGCTTAAATTAATAGGCAATATTACTTCAGTCTTTTCAGTTCTCCCTGTGTAAACTAAAAGGAGCTCCCACAGAATCTGCAAAACTGACCTAATGTCAGTTAGTTGTCTAAAGCATTTGAAGCAGCACATTACCTTCTCCTTGCTTTACATCTGAATTGGGAAAGTGGCTCTCCAACCAACAGCCCTTGGCTGCCATTTGAAAACAAGTAAGAACATGCAGAATGCTCCACACTTTATGGGAGGGTAGAGGGTATATGTTATCCTCTAAATGCAAGCAATGCAAGCAAAATGTATTATATGGGCCCTGATCCTTGGAAATTAAAATACTCCCAAGACATCTTGGAAAAAAGATTAAACTAAAAAGACGGTACTGAAGGAATAATACGTACAGTTATAATCTTCATTCAGTGTGCTTCATCTCAGATTTCAGGTTAAAACATTTTCAATCTCATAATTATGAATCAAGGTCACCAAAACACAACTTTTCTGGTAGGTAAATCTATGACTTTTTTAGACAACAGAGTAGAGTTCACAGATACAATTCCCTTTTAAAAAAATGTTTCAAACACTTGAAGGTATTCAATACATTTGAGAGCTGTCTATTATCTACTGAAGTATTGCACATGTATTTTAACTTTCTAAATAAATTGCAACTAACTTAAAGACAACTGGTCCCTTTCCCAAAGCTTTCTACATAAAATTAAGATAGAGCAGACTGCAATAACCAAACCAGGCACGTGTTTTTTGCTATTACTGTGAGACTTACAGAACTTGCTTGCCCCTCTACGTGAATCCTCTTGATTCTCTGCCAGACTGAGGCTCAATTTACTGGCACCCTCTGTAGTTACTTTGAAAGGATAAAGATGGGTAATTTTAGAATTAAAAAGTAGATCTCTTATCATACACAGAATTAATTCTGGTATTTTGTAAAATGGTGCAGTCTGAAAGCTCTTCTTCCTTAAAGCAGTTCTAGCTTTAAAAAATACATATAAAATGAAAACAGGAAGAGGTTTTTTATACATGTTTGTAAATCTGCTGTGTGTAATGCCGTGGCAATCTGGCAATCAATATTCTAAAGAATGACACTTTAAAAACATGATAAACTTTTTAACAGAAATAAAATTTATAAAGAATCTGAAGTATTAAACATGTATGTTGTACAATCTTCGTGATTTCTGCTAGAATTTCATTATCTTAATATAGTTTTTTCAAATATAATAAAGCATCTATTTTTCTTAAGAATAATGCACTCTACAACTATAAAGAACCAAAACTGAAGTTTAAATGATTTGAGATTTGATTGTTTATGTAATGTTTATTTACATACTCTGGTTAATACATGCAATGGATTTTTTTTTTTCATTCTAAACTGTGAAGCATGGAAATGCTTCAAAAAAGGAACATTTTTGAGAAAATTATGGGAACCTTGGGTTGTTGCCATGAAAGCACACTTTGATCACTATCCTTTGTGACAGAGAAAATATTTAAACTTCCTTAAAAGTGAGGAGGCTGAATGGGAAATGTGAATAAACATGCCACACTTACAGCCATCATTAATGTCTCAATCACCCTTGCTTTCAAGTGTGGATTTAACTGCTGGAAAGCAGGATTGCAAAGGAGCATTAGCTCCCTTATCAGCATCAGCCAGCATGATATATCCTCTCATATCATCTAAAGTGGAGATGATGTGGTTTTCTTCCCTCTCTTACTTAGACCAAGATGGTACCTACCCTAGTTTTATACCAACTTAAATAAACTGTGCTAGTGAAGTTCTTTTGCATATTTAGATCAGTTGGAATCAGAGATTACAACTATGAAGTACAAACTCAACAGGACCAGGGGATAGACTCAAGCACTGACATGGTATAGTCTGGGCTGGTTTGCTCTTGGTGCAATTGTCAGCACAGCTGGTACAGTTTTGGCTTGTGCCAACTAGCACTCTCCTGACAAACCCTGGTCATGGCTTGGAGGAATGCTTGAGCCAGGGCTTCTTCCCAGTACAGGTAAAACCACGCTGATTAGTTGCTTGGTATGGTGGAGTTAGGAGGAGAGGAAGGTGTGAGAGAGTTTAGCTGTATGTATGTCATACTGCACTGCATGGCTTCAGGGACAGAGAATGTCCTCTGATCTAGTTTGTTGTTACCGATTACTGAACTGAATAAAGGTGACAGGAATGGAAAATTTCAAAATAATCTACTGCAGTCAGTCAAACTCTGCCTTTGGGCATCCTTCTTAATTTCCTGACAAACAAAATCTGTATTTCTAGTCAATCAAGTGACATCTTCCCTGTAATTAAAGCCTTCAAAATACTGAACTAAGGAAACATTTAATATGAAGGACATGCTACTATGACTGGTAACTAGTAAAAAAACAGTTAGCAGGTATTCTTAGCTCTTTAGTCCTAAAACATGTAAATCAACTCCACAACCTCCCTGGGCCACCTGTTCCAGCATTTGACCACCCTCACAGTAAAAAAGGCTTTTCTTAAACAGATTTTTTTGTATTTCAGTTTGTGCGCATTGTGTCATTGTACCAACTCTAGCAGCCCCACACTGTCTTGCGCACTGTTTCCAGTTCCCCTTCAAACTCTCATCTGCACAAACTACCTCAACTGCAAAGTCTCTGCTAGTTTGTTGTCTTTGCTGTGCTCCTGCGAGCTCTCTCCCCTCAACAACAGTTACACAGATGCTCTTCTCAACATTTCACTAGGAGCCTGATCCTCTGAGACAGTCTTCATGTGCTAAGTATTCTAATCACTACACACTTGTGGCAAAAAACAGTTGCCCCCTCTTCCCCTTTATCCCATGGTAGCCACATGAACCTCTAGCATAGCAGAACTTTAATGTCAAAAAATACCTCTGGTACTTATCATGGTGCCTATGAACAGCATAGCACCTAAGCAGAGGTTTTATGAATCACTCTGTTATGAGTTAAGAAATATTTTATTGTGCCTAAAGTGCAACTCAGATTCTAGGTACCTTTATGAATCTAGGTCTGTGGTGATACCCATGCATAAGTAAGATGTGTGCAAGCCTGATGTATTGCCATTTCATATCTGAAATGTACAAAATTGTGTGCATGTTTACAATCAGTTATAAACAAAAGACATGACATGAGATTCAGAAGAACAAAGCCCCACACAGGAATGATAACTGGTTTACCAAGGACATCCCCCTGGAACAGTGTCCATCCTTCTTGCCAGGTCAAGTGAAAAAACTGCAAATAATCACTCACAACTCTCTTAACGTATACTTTGAATCACGTAAAGTACTGTCCTCGAGATGCATATTGCATTATTTGTGAATAGTATGTTAGCCTCAATTTCTTTCAAGTCAACAAAATAAACACGGCAATTACATCTCAAGACAATTCCTTGAAAA